ACCAGGTACTCAGGAGGCTCGCATGAACCTGGGAGGTCAAAGCTGCAGCAAGTCATCATCACTCCAGCTTGGGTGACAGAGTGAGACCCTGTCAATAAAGAAAAGGAAAAGGAAAAGAAAGAAAAAGGGAAAAAAAAGAAAGGAAAAGGTGAACTTGTTCCAGTGTAACTGATAACACAAATTAGAGAACAATTTGAGCACAAGCCGTACCTCCTGTTTATTTATGTGCTATTTTGTCACGTAAACACTAGATGAAAGGAGACAGTTTGCACCCAGTCGAACTGAACTGTGTAGAAATACCTGAAACACACTTCAAACACCTACCAGCTATGTCAGTTCACTACGTGTTAAGGGCCACACCTATTCGCTTCTGGTGTTACAACCTTCCATCTGATTATAGGTAATTCTTCTACCACTTCACAGTAACTCACAAGCAGCAACCTTTCTGACATCCCTTTCCACAAGCAAACCAGGCCTTTTCAAGGCAAAATGCCACATTTATTACAGTATCTATATATTTCTTAACCATTCAACACGTGTAAAACTGTTCTATCATTTTTACCAGGTTCCTTTTTTAAATGTGTCACTGATAAAGCTTCCTTTTTTAAATGTGTCACTGACAACCCCATTTGTCAGTCATTTCTACTGTACAATTATGCAAAGGAGTGATTTTTTAGGAACCTGTATGTTGCTTTACAGCAAACTGACTGTATAAATTAACAGTTGTATGAGAACTTCTTAGACCTTAAGTTAGTCTCACTATTCCAATAATTTACTAAAGAGGAAACTGTCATCCCAAAATTTCACAAAATGTTTACAATGCATATCCTAGCAAACCATCAGGATACTGATAACTTTTTAAGCTTGGTGGCTTTGATTTCAACTGGGCATAGGGTTGAATCTTCCAGCTTAAGGTTTATAGCCTGCCTAAGCCTAACTCAGAAGACAAGTGTTCTCAACACCTGAACTTTCATGAGTACTATTTTATGATTTTCATTGCTTTGCCTGTTTTTAACTTCTTCCAAAACATACTGACATTTTGATTTTAAATGACCCTGTATTATACAGCAACTGGGCATAGCCCTAAAGTCCCTTAAGGGACCACAGACTCAGAAGACACCATATCCAAGTTAAAAATAGATCCAAGCCGAGCACGGTGGCTCACGCCTGTAATCCTAGCACTTTGGGAGGCCAAGGCGGGCAGATCACTTGAGGTCAGGAGTTTGAAACCAGCCTGGCCAACATGGTGAAACCCTGTCTTTACTAAAAATACAAAAAAATTAGTCAGCATGGTGGCAGGAGCCTGTAATCCCACCTACTCGGGAGGCTGAGGCAAGAGAATGGCTTGAACCCAGGAGGCGGAGGTTGCAGTGGGCCGAGATCATGCCACTGCACTCCAGCCTGGGTGACAGAGAGAGCCTTCATCTCAAAAAAAAAAAAAAAAAAAGAAAGAAAAACCAAAAGAAAAAATAGATCCAAAGTCACTAACTCCATAATACCTCAAATATATACTTGTACGGCTTCCACTCTATTCTCCACAGGGATGCCAAAGTGATCTCTAAATCACCTTGCTCCCCTGCTAAAAATATTTTGGCTCTCTCTTCTGCTGTAAGATACAGGTAGAAACTTCACTTTTAGCTTAGCAAGCATGGTCCTTCAAAATCTAGACCAGACACACCTTTGCAGGCTCATCTCGAGTCATGCCCACTGTTCCAATAACACCTTATCACTAGTCTTACCCTAACACTTGACACCTCAGTGTACCCACAGTTTCTTCTGTTTAACACGACTCCCTCTCCCCAGTTTGGCAAATCCTATTCAGTGTTATTTTTCGTAAACTGCCCCCACACCCTCCGCAAGTTTAACCATTCTCTATTGCGTTCTCCCACAGCACTCTGTGCACCTATTAAGCCTATACGCTATGAGAGGGCAAAATCAGAGTATTATTTGTCTTTGAATTCTCAGTGTTAAAACACTGTGACTGGCCGGGCGCGGTGGCTCACGCCTGTAATCCCAGCACTTTGGGAGGCCGAGACGGGCGGATCACAAGGTCAGGAGATCGAGACCATCCTGGCTAACACGGTGAAACCCCGTCTCTACTAAACAAATAGAAAAATTAGCCGGTTGCGGTGGCGGGTGCCTGTAGTCCCAGCTATACGGGAGGCTGAGGCAGGAGAATGGCTTGAACCTGGGAGGCGGAGCTTGCAGTGAGTGGAGGTGGCGCCACTGCACTCCAGCCTGGGCGACAGAGCGAGACTCCGTCTCAACAACAACAACAACAACAAACACTGTGACCAGTACATACCTTAACATGTAACTTAAGTTACCAAGAAAATATAAATGGACGAAGGAGAGATAAAGACCAGAGAAGGGTAAAGTGAAGACAGCCTAAATGAGTCCCCATCTTGGATCAAATAACCCCCAACCTCGCTACTTATTCAAGTACCAAAATACAGTACATTCCATTATACTCTAATGCACCCCAGCTATGCATACAGTATATGTTTACAGTTTATTCACAGTTTTTTTTTTTTGAGACGGAGTTTCACTCTTTTTGCCCAGGTTGGAGTGCAATGGTGTGCTCTCGGCTCTGCCTCTCATATTCAAGCAATTCTCCTGCCTCAGCCTCCCGAGTAGCTGGGATCACAGGCATGTGCCACCACGTCCAGCTAATTTTGTATTTTTAGTAGAGATAGGGTTTCTCCATGTTGGTCAGGCTAGTCTTGAACTCCTAACCTCAGGTGATCCGCCTGTCTTGGCCTCCCCAAAGTGCTGGGATTAAAGGCATGAGCCACCACACCCAGCCTCAGCCATTCTTAATTTCAGATACATAGTGTTTTATTAATCACACTTTGTTGTAAAATGACTACCTTGAGTAATGGGTATAAAGATATCTACAAATCCAACTCTGGTTTTCCCAGTAAAACATACATTTTTAGCTGAGCCTATTAGGACTTTTCCAAAGTGATAACTGCTTTAAAGCAGAGCTTCCCAAACCAGTGGACCTTACTTACATATGGGAATGGGTTCTAAATGTGCTGAACATATTGATCCCTCACCCCTAATGGCCCAACGAATATAGCTGTGAGCTGCCTTAACATTTATTTCAGTATGTCTTACATATATTATCCTTTTCTGTTGCACCACGAAAAAGGTTTATGCTTTAAAGAATGTAAGAAGGCAAATATGGGTACTGGAATGTCTAAGCATTAACCAAAATGCATTTTTTTTTTTTTTTGAGACTGAGTTTCACTCTTGTCACCCAGGGTGGAGTGCAGTGGCAATCTCTGCCTCCCGGGTTCAAGCAATTCTCCTGCCTCAGCCTACTGAATAGCTGGGATTACAGGCATGCGCCACCACACCTGGCTAATTTTGTATTTTTAGTAGAGACAGGGTTTCACCGTATTGGCCAGGCTGGTCTCGAACTCCTGACCTCAGGTGATACACCCATCTCGGCCTCCGAAAGTGCTGGGATTACAGGTGTGAGTCACCGCACCTGGCATAAAATGCATACTTTTAAACTACAGGTACAGTGGGCAAATTCCTACAATGCCTTTACACATTTGTAGTTAGGACCAAATTCTATAAACCAACCTTATGTCTGCTCAAAAGAAAACAGTTTGAAATTTCCCAATAATTGTAGTTTTACTTTGCCAACAACATTTAAGAAACCTGAAAATACCTACAAATTGAACAGGCATATTCAAAAGGAGCTGCCTAGGCTGCATCACCACTATCAAGACACTATGGAAATTAATGATTGGCTTTCAGAGAAAATCTTCAGTCTCACAAGAATATCTATGTCTTTTGTCACCATTTTTAAAAACTGATCAAGACAGGGTCTCACTACGTTGTGACAGTTATCACAGGCTTTAAATATTTCATATTTTTCTGAGACAGGGTCTTGCTGGTCTCAAACACCTGGGCTCAAGCCATCCTCCTTCCTCAGCCTCCCAAAGTGCTGGGATTACATGGTGAGCCATCATGCTTGGCAATTACATAATCTTTTTTGACCATTTCATTAAGCATCTCGTTCACCTACTGAGAAGTGACCTGAAATAACTTCTAACCATTAAAATACCCTCTACCCTCCCAAAAGAACAAACCTCTAGCAATGAGGTCACACACTCGTGTGCTCTCACATGCACACAAACCCAGTCCTTCCCCTCGTAATTACAGTATCATGGGCAAGTCACCTCCACCTTTCTAGGTCTGTTTTCTCATTAGCAGCTGTTCAAATATTTTGTTTAAAACAAAACACCTGGAGTAGATCACAGATCTAAAGATATTAAGCCATTTTTATTCTAATTTTACTCTAAAAGTCACAACATTCTAAAGACTGTGATGGCCAGGCATGTTGGCTCATGCCTGTAATTGCAGCACTTTGGGAGGCCAAGGAAGGAAGATCGCTTGAGTTCTGGAGTTGGAGACCTGCCTGGGCAACAAATCAAGACTCTACAAAAACTTTAGAAATCAGCCGTGGTGGTGTCTGCCGGTAGTCCCAGCTAGTCAGGAGGGTGAGGCAGAAGGATCGCTTGAACCCAGGAGGCAAAGGCTGCAGTGAGCCAAGAACTGTGCCATTGCACTCCAGCCTGGGTGACAGAGTGAGATCCTGTCTCAAAAACAATAAATAAATTAAAGACTGTGATAAATGTCTTAACAGCAATTATCCAAAAAAGCCACCCTTTTGATCAATGGCCCACATCTACTCCTACAGCCTACAAATCTGTTCTGGAGTGGGAAAGTCTAGTATATTGTAAAAAAATACAAAGTGCTACTACACACTATTTTATTTTTTCAGTTATTCACATTCACTCTCTTCCTCTTCAAAGTTAAATTCCCAGATACAAGTAGGCAAGAAGATTCAGCACTAACAATGAGACAATCCACCTGGAAAACAGGTAAGTATGGGAACTCAAATTCAAGCAGATTATCTAAAACACATCAGCTTAACACAGTAACAACAAATCCAAGAAGGTCAAGCGAGATGACCATTCACGATGTTGTCAATGGCAGTAACAGTTAAAAACAGAAGGCTACAGGTGTTGGTTAGCAGGCTCCTCGCGGAAGGCGAAGGAGGTAAAGAGTCAAAGGAAGTTTCCAAAGAAAATAACGATTAGTGTTGAAAAACAAAAAGGAGGGGTGCAATTTGGGTTCCCAGAGAAAACTGCTTCTAGAAACCAGCGCGATCTCCGAGTCCTTAGCAATACTATAAAACAAATCTCTTCACTGCATGCTAAGTGCTTCTTTAACCTGTAATCCACCCCGTCCTCTCCCCCAAAAATCTGCGTTAAACTGCATTTTAAGAACATTTTAGGGGGGGTAAGCAGCGGGTTTCCCGCTCGACAGTAACTGCGGCCGCGGAGTGCGAAGTTCCACACGCGAACCACCCACCGAGCCGCTCCTCCGAAGTTGCCACCGTCTTGGCCCCGAGTCCCGGGACACGGACTCGCTCCTCCGGCGACGGCAGCCGGGACCGGCCGGGACCCCAGAGCCCGGCGCCGGCCCCTCCCCTCCCCTCCGCCCGCCGCCGTCAATCAACGCCCCCCGGCAGGGACTCGGCTCGGGGGCGCGGCCCGGGGCGGGGCGGGATCGCGGCGCGTCGAGGGCCCCCCACAGCCGCCAGCCGGGGAGCGGCGAGCCCGCCGCCCACGAAACTCAAGTTGCCGCGACCGAGGCCGGCCGACGGGGCGGTCCGTGCGCGGCCGCAGAGAGAAGCGGCGCCCCGGCCGGGCCTCGGGCCTGCCTCGCTCACCTCTCGGGGTGCGCCGCCTTCCTCCGCCGCTGCCGCCGCCTCCTCCCTGTGAGCGCAGCGGGGTCTGACCTGTGGAACCACCATACCAGTCCCGCCCGCTGCTGCAGCGCCGCCGCCGCCGCCGCTCCTCTCCGCCTCAGTCGCTGCTCTTTGTTCCCCCTCCGAGAGCCGCCGCTTCAGCCGCCCGCCTCAGCCGCCCCGGCGGGCCGCCACTACGCCCTCCCGCCCTCTCGGCCCCCGGCCTCGCCCTCCTCGCTGCGCCCGCCGCTGCCTTCGCCTCCGCGCCGCCGACGCCGCCGACACCGACGCCGACGCCTCCTCCTCCGCGCCCCCCTCGTTTTCATTGAAAGCAAACAAGCATCATGGCGGCGGGCGCCGTCCCTCAGCCAGCGAGCGCCCGGACCGCCGCCGGCACGCCAACATCCCGGCCGCTCATTGGCCGCCGTCGCTGGGCGCAACCATCCGGCCTTCGGCGCGGGGGTCGCTGCGGCCCGCCGCGGCCTAGGCCCCGCCCCTCACCCCCGCGCTGAGGAACTGTGGTCCGGCCCGGCGCGCTGCGGGCCCTGCTCCCGGCCTCCCCCGTCCTCTTTCCGTCCATCCTTGGTCTCCTTCTGTTCCCGCTCTCCCCGCTCCGTTCCTGCCTTGGCACTTCTGTTTTCTCCTCTCTGTAGCGCTCCTCCATTTTTCATCTACTTTTTCTGCCTCGGGTGGTCCACTTTTTTTTTTTTTTTTTGAGACGGAGTCTCGCTCTGTCGCCCAGGCTGCAGTGCAGGGGCGCGATCTCGGCTCACTGCAAGCTCCGCCTCCCGGGTTCACGCCATTCTCCTGCCTCAGCCTCCCGAGTAGCTGGGACTACAGGCGCTGCCACCTCGCCCGGCTAATTTTTTTTTTTATTTTTAGTAGAGACGGGGTTTCACCGTGTTAGCCAGGATGGTCTCGATCTCCTGACCTCGTGATCCGCCCGCCTCGGCCTCCCAGATGCAGGGATTACAGGCGTGAGCCACCGCGCCCGGCCGGGTTGTCCGCTTTTATCTCTTCTCTTCCCTCTTCCTTGATCCTCCTCCCCTTTTTTTCTCCTTTTCCTTTTCCTTAAGCCTTCGCCTGTCATTGACGTCGAAACACAGGTATTTGCCCGGAGCCAGTATCTTGATCTGCCTAAAGACAAGACAATCAGTCGTGAGCAGGCGAATGTTATTCCTTCCTCAATGACGCAGAAAAAGAGTAAGTTAACATACCGTTTCAGTCCATGAATGGTAATTCATTCCAGTACATTAATGGACAGTATGGTGCTGGGCTCCTAGCCTGAGTAACGGACAACAGCTGCTGTGCGCCAAGATCGAAAGGTGTTCGGGGCAAACTCTGGTGGTTGAAGGTGAGCAGAGAAATGATTGGGCTGATTCATGATGCTTACATCAGGAAATATTAGTTGACTGATGGTCAGGGCACAGAGATGAATCAGACCCCACCCAGCCCTGAGTAAGCTCACAGTCTAGGGACAAGAAGAACACTCAACAGACTTAATATTGGAGGTATATTGGTCTGGCGCGGTGGTTCACGCCTGTAATCCCAGCACAGGCCGAGGGGGGCAGATCAGCTGAGGTCGGGAGTTTGAAAACAGTCTGACCAACATGGCAAAACCCCCTCGCTACTGAAAATACAAAAAATTAGCCAGGTGTGGTGGCGGGCACCTGTAATCCCAGCTACTGGGGAGGTTGAGGCAGGAGAGTCGCTTGAACCTGGGAGGCAAAGGTTGTGGTGAGCCGAGATCACACCATGGCACTCAGGCCTGGGCAACAAGAGCGAAACTCTATCTCAAAAAAAAAAAATTCGAAGTATATGCTGAAGGGTATGGCGTCAAGGAAAAGGAATAGCTGCCTGCCCACCTATGTGGCAAAGTAGGATAGGCTGCTAACTGCTTCCTGGAAAATCAACCCTGAAGAAATGGGAGTGAGACAGGTTCCAGGAACCAACCGTAGCAGCAAACCAAGGCTTCTGCGTCACTGAAGGCTGTTGAGAGCTGGGAATGTGGGAAATGGGTTGCTGTTGCCTGGGGTGGAGGAGACCTGGCTGGAAGGGCAAGGAAAGGATGAGGGAAAAGCTGTTCAGAGATCAAGATGATCTCCCTCTCCCCAGCATGGCCTTGGGATGGTCATTGCTTAGCACTGCCATGGCATCAGTAGTGACAGCCCAGGCCTCTAGGGCCATAGGACACTGGGCAACGATGACAGTGCAAAAGCCCAGGAGTCAGGAAGAACACATGCAGACCGACCAGCAGGCTGCCTGTGGCCATCCCTCCACAACCTCCTTCCGCCCCAGGCAGGGAGTCGTGCAGCCCTGTGTTGTACAGAGCATCCCAGGCTGAGAGGCCAATGGCACAGACACCCTGCAAGGCCTCTCCTCCCTGTGTGAGTGCCCTGGCCATCTGTGCTCTAGCCTGGGTGCCTTTTTGTAATTTGTATGGCCAGAGGCAGCTACTCTCAGCCCGGTGCAAGGACTCGCGCCTGTAATCCCAGCACTTTGGGAGGCTGAGGCAGGCAGATCACTTGAAGCCAGGAGTTCGAGACCCGCCTGGCCAACGTGGCAAAACCCCATCTCTACTAAAAATACCCAAAAAAAATCAGCTGGGTATGGTGGCGGGCGCCTGTAATCCCAGCTACTTGGGAGGCTGAGGCGTGAGAATTGCTTGAATCCAGGAGGCAGAGGTTGCAGTGAGCTAAGGTTGCGCCATGGCACTCCAGCCTGGGCGACAGAGCGAGACTGTCTCAAAAAACAAACAAAACCCAGAGGTAGCAATCCCCTCGTGACTGGCAGGATCGTACGGAGGTGGGGAGGTCTCGTTGCACAAAATCTTGGTAGCATAAAGCAACAGTTTTACTGTATCTCGTGATTCTGATGCTCGCCCTTGGGGCCGCATGCCTCTGCCAAAGGTGGCAGCTGGGTGTTGAATATCTGGCACCTTGGTGCCCCCTAACGAGGCCTCCCTCTGCAGTGTCTCATCCTTCAGCCTTTGTGTGTGGCCCCTCTCTCCAGCCGGAGGTGATCCTGCGCTTCTTACATGGCAACCAGGGGCTCCAAGAGGAAAGCAAAGCCGCCAGGCCTTCTGAAGAAGGCCACTTCCTCAATATTCTATTAATTAAAGCAGTCACAAGCCCAAGCCAGATTCAAGAGGAGAGGACATAAGCTGTAGAGGAGCTGCGCACACATACAGGGCGGGGTGGACTTATTGGAGCCCTCTGGGGAGACTTGCTACCGCCAGGAGGGTACAATAGTGGCTCTGCTGTGCGTGCCCTGTTCTTTCTGCATATCTGAAGAGAACCCCCGGAAAACACCTACTCACCTTTCAGATCCAGATCAAAGTGCCGCTCACGTTAGGCCAGACCTCCTGTTGCAAGTTATAAAACTCACAACTCAGTATTTCTTTGCAAGAAAGAGGGAATTGAATTGAAAGAGGGAATGCGGACCCATTCAAGCATTGTAAGGTGGCATCAAGAATCAATCTCACCTCCTACCTTCCACCCTACTCTCCTCTCTGCTGGCCTCACACAGGTGGGAAAGATGCCACCAACACCTGCAGGCTTAGATTCTACCAGCTTCTCCACTTAGAGAAGGTGCTTCTTTCCTAATGGCCAAAGACCCAGGGCGGGCTCTCACTGGCCTGGCCTGGGCCCTGTTTCTGCTGCAGCCAGGCAGTACCAAAGCAGGACCAATCTGGGATTGTTATGTGTGAAGCTAGGACAGCATGAATTGGTGGCAACCAGCACCATCTTCCCACCATGTGGAGAGATGAGACAGTGATGAAGATGTGGAGTCTCAGCAAGGGCCTGACAGTTTGATTTCAGTGGTTTTTTCCTTTAGCCTGTGACCTATACCAGAACCTATTTCAGGTATACAATACTTTTTTTTTTTTTTTTTTTTTTTGCTTAAGTTAGTTTGAGTTTGGCTTCTGTAGCTTCCAACCAAAATAATTCTAATTTGACCAGTAAATGCGTTGCACAGATGGATGCGTCACCAGAATAGGGTCCTCATCCAATGTACACAGCAAGTCAGCGCGCCAAGACCCCAGGCTGCAGCACAGGAACAGTTTTAATGCTAGGCCCACGGGATGTGGAGACAGGGAGAAACCACATCTGCCTCTCTGATGAGTCTGGGGCTAGGAATTTCAAGGGTTTTGGAGTGGGCTACAGAGTGGAGCTTGTTGGTTTGTCAAGGAGAGCAGGATGAAGCTGTGTTCTCATGCTGATTTGGTTCCTTTGGATGAGGGTTAGGGGGGTCTTCAGACTGGTTGGCATCGGCTGTTCGACTGGAATTCAGGATCTGCTTGAGCACTTCTTTTATATTTATTTACTTATATTTATTTTTTTATTTTTATCTCTGAGACAGAGTCTTGCTCTGTCGCCCAGGCTGGAGTGCAGTGGCACAATCTCTGCTTGGTGCAAGCCCTGCCTCCCAGGTTCAAGCAATTCTCCTGCCTCAGTTTCCCAAGTAGCTGGGATTACAGAGGCACACCACCACACCCGGCTGACTTTTGTATTTTTAAGTAGAGACGGAGTTTCACTATGTTGGCCAGGCTGGCCTCAAACTCCTGACTTTGTGATTCACCCGCCTCGGCTTCCCAAAGTGCTGGGATTACAGGCGTGAGCCACTGCACCCAGCCTATATTTATTTATTTTACTGTATTTTTGAGACAGGGTCTCACTCTGTCACCCAGACTGCAGTGCAGTGGCGTGACCACAGCTCACTGCAGTCTCAACCTTCTTGGGCTCAGGTGATCCTCCCACCTCAGCCTCTGGAGTGGCTGGGACTGCAGGCACACACCACACCCAGTTAATTGTTGTTGTTGTTGAGATGGGATTTCACCATGTTGCCCAGGCTGGTCTCCAGCTCCTGCCCTCAAGCAATCTACCCACCTCGGCTTCCCAAAGTGCTCGGATTACAGGCGTGCACGACTGTGCCAAGCTGCTTAAGTAATTTTTAAACAAAAGCCTTAGGACTCTAATGTCAGAAATCCCGTCTGTAGTAACAGCGGGGGTGCACAATGGTCAGTGTCTGGGAGCTACATGATTTTCTGTTACAAGGAAGTGGGTCTAAGTGCCACCTGATCAATGCTTAATTATAACTGTATTTCTGTCCAGGATTCCTGTTAACTCTCAGAGGGGGGCCTCAGGTGGGTGATTGAATAATGAAAACGGACACCTAGGTGATGGCCATGGTGGTTGACGTTGCTGTGGTGTCTGTCACTCAAACATGACTGGAGCATTGGAATTCCAACCCGGGACTGGTGGAGAACGTTCTGTGGTTTGAATATTTGTCTCCTCCAGCACTCATGAAGACAGAATTAATAATCAAAAGAGAAGCAAAGCGGACAAATTTGGAAAACTCAGCCTGGCCATGTAGAGTGAAAAAGCGTGTTCAAAAGCAGAAACCAAGAGGGGCCCAATAGTCTTTCACTAAGATAAGTACAGAGAAAAGGATCATCAAAGAGAATGGAGCCGGGTGTGGTGGCTCACACCTGTAATCCCAACACTTTGGGAGGCCGAGGTGGGTGGATCCCCTGAGGTCAGGAGTTCACGACCAGCCTGGCCAACACAGTGAAACACCATCTCTACTAAAAATACAAAAAATTAGTCGGGCATGATGGCAGTCGCCTGTAATCCCAGCTACTCGGGAGGCTGAGGCAGGAGAATCGCTTGAACCCGGAAGGCAGAGGTTGCAGTGAGCCAAGATCATGCCATTGTACTCCAGCCTGGGCAACAAGAGTGAAACTTCGTCTCAAAAAAAAAAAAAAAAAAGAATGGAAGAAAGACCTCTAGGGCATTTTGGAGGTCTTTGAGGCCGCCATTGCTGTCACAGGCTCTGAGGCCTAGAGGGCAGAATGGTTTCAGGGGATGGCCCAGTATTGGGAGGTGGGGTCTTTAAGAGGTAATTGGGCCATCGGGACTCTCCCAGGCTGGCAGATCACTTACGCTCAGGAGGTTGAGGCCAGCCTGAGCAACATAGCAAAACCGCATCTCTACAATAAATACAAAAAAGTGGGCCGGGTTTTGGTAGATATTGCCAAATGGCTCATTGAAAAGGCTGTACCAGTTTATGTTTCCACCAACAGTGTATAAAGGTCTGTTTTTCAAGTCAACTAAAACTCTGTCTCTGACTCTGTTTCTCTCTGTTTCTGACATGAATAAGAGTCTAAGGGAAATAAGTATTTGAATTTCACAGTATGTATA